ACAAACCCCCTCTCTACTCCCTCCCTCATTCCCCACTTCTTTTAATCTCTGCCTCTCTCCTTCAATTATCACAATGTCACCACCACCACTGGGAAAGTTTCCTTTTGGTGAATTAACAGGAGAAGAGCTTTGCAGCGGGTAAGCTGGCGCTCTACTCTGTCATTGTCATGGCGGTGGCTCTGACAAAACAGTTTGCGTACCTGCTTAAGTATTACAGAAATTAACACCTCCCTTCCAGGTACAGTAATCAAGAGGGTGACGGGAGACAATTAATTAGGTCCATCTGCATCACTGCCTTTACATAATTAATGGGGCTCATTACTGAACCACTAGCATGATGTGGAGCATGCTAGCACACTCACTAGCTCAGAGCATGATAGCACTGAAAGCACTAGGAAAGAGAAGATCTTTGTTTGTTTCATTTTGGAAAAATGTACCTGTAATGGACTAATCTGCAGTGTTGCATGCAGTTACCTATCAAAACCTAAGTTTATTCCACAGGTTTTGTTAACCTCCATGCTAAACCATCCTAAAAACTATGACAGTCACAGTTCCCTTAAAGGTCCAGAGCGTAACATTTAGGAGGATCTATTGCATAAATGGAATGATATATTCATAATAGTTTTCATTAGTGTATAATCACCTAAATAGAGGAATAATTATGTTTTTGTTACCATAGAATGAGCCTTTTACATCTACAGATGCAGTGGGTTGTCGTCTATGCAATCTGCCATGTTGAACCGCCATGTTACTACAGTAGCCAAGAAGGGACAAACCAAACATTCTCCCTCGTGCTTGGAAGGGGAGGGGGAAGTGAGGGGTTTGAAATCTGCAACTACACCACTAGATGCCACTAAATCCTACTGGACCTTTCACTGGCAGTTTGCTCTTAAAAATGGCTCTGGCTGCAATCTCTTTCTACATGTTTTTGACTTTGAACCACAGCAATTATATATAAAGACATGTACTTTACGTTGAGTGTATTCTTCTTATTCTTATTCTTGGACAGGGGCCTTAAGTGTCCAATCAACCACACTTCTCCATAAAGATATAATAATATTACAAAAATGAACATAAGAAAACACAAGTATAATCTCCAAACAATTTCTCTTGTGGTTGAAGCAAGAATGGAACAAAAGCACACTAAGTGCAGAATGTGTGACATCTTCTACATATGTAGATAGCAGTGTGGTACAAAAAGTGTGAGGTAAGTCTTAAAGAATTTCAATTATGAAAAATACCATAATTGGTGTGTGAGCTAATGCCCCCTCTCTCAGCTGTTATCCACAACACTTGGGGCTACTGATCTTTGACGGAAACTCATTCTTTTTCCTTCCTTCCTGTGATCAAATTAAAGAGGACAGAAGTTGATTGGTCCCTGACTCATTCACCCTCTTTGCTTAGCCAGTAAGCTCTACTGCTGACATCTTAACCTGAGAGTAATGTTTAAACCTTGAAGCAACTCAAATGATCATATGGCATGAAGGAATCTATAATATAAAGTTAATTGGTGAGAAAGTAAAAATTAGATTATGTTTTATGACTGCCTTGTGAAAATTACAAGTTTGATAATAATAGGCCATTTGCAGGTTAGTTATTGAATGTGGATTTTTTTTTTATTGTTTCACTGCTGGAGGGAGATACAGCATCAGAGACAGTTCTAAGTTACAGCACAGCACATCCAGAAAACTAGTTTCAACCTAATTGATTATAATCATTTTTGCATTTTTTTTTATTTGCTTTGACTTTACCCTGTATTGTGTTGTTGTCTAGTGTAAACAGTACTAATTTCATCAGAATCAGAATCAGAATCAGAAATACTTTGATACACATGAGAGTGGGAAATCTTTGATGCTTTGCACATTGCATACATTTCATCCATTAATGCCAATTTATGTTCTCTTATGTCTTTTTGTGTAAAAAAATAATGAATAATTAGCTTGTCCCATTAATGAGTTTTTCCATTATAGTTGATACTGCAGGTAATGTGACCAGTGATGACAGTTAAGGTACAAGAAACCCTGAAATGTCAGGCATAAAGTGTGTTGCCTGGTCAAGCATAGTGAAAACTGGCTGACAGATTTCTAACTTGTTTCTATTAAATGTTTCCTGACTGATGCACAGTCAAGCAACAAATTGCTACCTGTGATCCAGTGCAGCTTAAACATCTCTGTAAGGTGCTATAGAAGTACAATTGCTGCTGCATGTTATAACCTAAATCAAATTAGATTAACCTTAAAATACTTTCGCTTGTGATTCTCTAAATGATTTTGAGTTGCTCTGTCTAGCACCTGACATATAAGTGGTTTCAAATTAGGCTAAAACAAACAAGAGGTATTTGCAGTTCCTATTTGTTCCAAATCTGATTTGTTGAAAATGTCATACATTATCCTTTTAAGAGTGTACTGTTCAATAACTTTCTAAAATTGGCTCAATATCAGACTGCAGCTGTTCCTGTGAGTGCCTTGTTTTCCTTCTCCTCATCCCTCCTTTCTCTCACTCAGCTAATGAAGGCCTTGTGGCCCAGTGTTATTAAAATTACGCCCTTGCCTCTGATATTAATTGGGTCCGTAATAAGGAATGCGTCAGATTCATTATTTAATTGCAAGGGCACATTTGGAATACAGTTTCTGAAATGTATTTTTAATGAAAAACACTACATCCTGACCTAATCATATCAACCTTATTCTATCTAATTAAGGATGCAAAAAATCATTAGAGTTGCAAAATATTAGTTTCAGCTCTGTCGGGCTGCTCCTTTGCTCGCCTTCATGAATATATTTTTTTCCTGTCTATGATAAATAGTTAATGAGGGAAAAATGACAAAAATTTGCATGTAGGCAAATTAGTCTAATAGGGATATGTCTTTGCTGAGTTAGGAAAGTGACCCTTTTCACAGGAGAAATTGTTACAATAATTATGAAATAATGGCAAGGCCCATCTTATTCTGATGAAAAATGGCTGGCTTGAATAATGTAAAAATCATAAAATGCAATAACCCTAAATTTTCATCATGCTGTATAACATGTTAACGTGTTAGCATTTTATCAGTTTAATAATGCCAAATTAGGGACAATATGAAGTATGCTATAATTGTTGCTTTGCAGGGAGATATGCAGTAATGCAAGGATGATTTAGCAGTGCCACCACAGCAAGAGGCCATCAGTAGCTAAATGAAGCATTTTCTTAATCACAAACTTTGGGGGTGTAATTTCTTCCAAAGTCTCCAAACATTGGGAGGTTCAATTTTCTCCCAATAAACAGGTCCATCACCATCCCATTAGCAGTAGTGTAGTCACCTCTCAGAGCCAGGGTTGCAGTTCATTAAGGCTTACAAGACAGGTGTAAAATAATAGGACTTGGGGGAAAAACACTATGTATGTTGTAAGTTATGCACGTCTTATCTTATGAATTTAATATCATATTGATTGATTGCTTTATTGTTTCAAATAAGATACATTTGCCTTTTTCAAGTACCAACAGTGTAAACAATAGTCATCATCTTCTCTCGTATTCATGAACTCAGTTTTTATAAGATTCTCAATCAAGAATACAGGATGTGAGGTCATCTACTGATAGTATGTTGAGTCAAAATGTCTATTCTAGCATTGTTAAGCTTTCTATGATGGCACATAGTGCTCAGTAAAGGTTGTGGCATAGCAGATCAACACAGACTAACTTGTTAACATACCAACTGCAATCATTATTCCTGTTTGTGTGACAAATTGTCACACTGTCAATCGGTTCTTGAGAATTTTCTGTGAAATGTCTGCCTCTAATTGTGTTTGTAAAGATGCAGATTGCCTCCATTCAGACTGTAGACCTTAACAGTTTAGACTGATTTCTCAAAGTAGGGTTTCCCAGAGGAAGTTGATTTTCTAGTAATTAGCAGTCATACAAATATTAACTACCTTAACCCTCACAAAACATTTCTGGATTAGTCAAGCTTGTTTTTACTCCCCTGTGAGACAAAATGGTGCATCATTTCTTAAAAGCCAGTCCATTTTTCACCAGAAACAGAGAATCTACTGGAGTTTCTGGTTCCATTTTTACCCCTTTTACAGCCATTTGAACTTGTGCGAGCAAAGAGCAAGGGAGTTAATGAACACGGAGAACACCGAGCGATGTGTGCCACTAACAAATCCTAGAGAATAAATTAAAGGGGGCTGCAGTTTGATCGCTGTGTTCCATTTCCCTTATCTCAACAAGTCACATTTTCAATCACTATGCAAAGATTTTACATCGGGTGTAGGCTCAGTGCTAATACACTGCCCTTCCCTGTGTCATCACCATCGACCTACGCTGGGCTGTCAAACATGCGGCAGCTTCTACACAGCAATAGTAATTTCATGGGGACATGCATTTATGCGAAATGGAATCTTGCATTGCCCATGACACCAAGTTGTCCATATTAAGAGAATGCCCAGTGTAGCATATGCATATGCACCCCAGTATGTGTTGATTGAGCAGTCTTTCTTTAATGAAATATCTTCGGAAATTGGTTTCCACAGACTAATCAGGCAGCCCGCTAGCCGAGTTTCTGTTTTGGTAATTATCTTGTACTAATTAGAATGAAGCTAAAGACCTCTGAGATGAATTCTCAGCTTTCTGAAATGTAACTAAGGAAAATGTAATGATATAAAATGAGCCTATTCTATACATCCTCTCGGACGTAATATCTTCGTTAAAGTGACCCAATTGAATGTGGTATTGATGAACAGCCTGGTTCCATCATGGCTGCCATTAAATGTCCTTTCAGTATGACGCTCATCCTGTCTTTCCTTCAGCGTTGCAACATGAGTAAAACCTCCTGGGGTTACAAACAACCAACTGTAATTCCTCCTCTATACGCAGACCAATCTAACAGCTTAGTATCAGTGACCTTTTGGCTCATCGTCTTGTTAAGAAAACATCCATTAGCCCAATTAATCTCCAAGGGTTTGAGGAGAGGAGCATTGTCTAGAGAGAAAGGAGAAACTGCAGTGTAGTAAGATGCTTACCTTGCGCCTCTCCCCATTGAAGCCTCTCCACTGCTCCGCCTTTTTGACAATGTAGCTCAGTTCCTGATTGGACAACTCCAGGTCTTGAGGCAGGAAGTATGCCCCCTCCTTGGCTGTGAGCCGCTGAAAGATGTCTAGCATGCGACCATCGTTGTGGAATCTAGAAGTTGTGGTGTGAGAGAAGAAGTGAGGAGGGGGAAGTGGTAGCAGGAGTGACGCCATGCTGAATCACTGTCTTTGCCCTGTAAAGGTCACATAGGGTCAAATGTCAAAGCAAGGAAAATACATGCATCTTTCCCTCGTGTCAAAGATGATAATTGTGGATAACTAGCTGGGTGGCTACCTCCGTGCCAAACAGCATTATGTCCTCTTTTTCACTGTCATATTGGCTGGCTTTTATAGAACAGGTCAAATCCCGATGATCCCAACTCGCTGGAAGAACACATGAATCTTCTATTGATTACACAAAGCATGTTTGCAGTGTAAGTATAATACATCAATTCAAACACAATGAAAGAGCAAAAGGAATCAAACAAATTGGCCTGTGAGTGGGAAGCACTTTGTTAACACAAGCTGACTGTATCAGTGTCTGTGTTTGGCTGTGTGTCTGCGTGGCTGTACATCTGTTAATGTGTGGGAGTCAGATCCTGGGATATTCTTCTTCAGTGTTAATGCTAGAGCTTCAAAGATGGCAGATGCAACGGACGTGCTGGTTGCAGATGTGTCTGGAGAGACCGGACTGAGTCACAAGAAAAACGTTCGGCACGGCAGAAGGCATATTGATTCATACCTCCAGATGAGCGCACATCACCAAAGTGTTATTTTTCTTTTGCCACACAAGGGTGCATGCAGCCAACCTCTAAAAAGAATCACCATGTCTGTAAACAAATGCCTTGGCTGACCATCAAAACCAGAAGACCTTGTGCCCTTCCATAGAGATTCTAGTCTGTCAGAGGGTAATCAACTCTCAAATAAAACCAACATCAAGGAGACCGGGATTTATACAAGAAGCTGGTACGAAGCTTTGAACTCAGCATCATTCCCCATCGCTCTTGGGAGAGGGATGTTTGTAGAATCCTGACCTCAGACACAGGAATAGCATGCATTCATTTTCATCCTACACTTGAATTGTGCTTCTCATTCATTTATGCGGCCTCTCTCTTGGAGGAATTCACCATCTTTGTATCCTGTGCTTCAAAACTGGCTCATTTCCCTTAGTGTTGGAAGTGCCCTGAATGTAAGTTTGTGTTACTTATATCTGGGGTATGACCTGGATGATAAGGCTCTCATCAGCTCTTCTTCAGTATAGGGGTCACCTTAAGGACATGTGTTAACTTATGGAATACATTTTAGCAGAATATTCATGACAACACGTCTATGGTGGATAAAAAAGGAAGGTTATTTTTGTGTAGGAAACCTGTGTACATTAAATGCATTCAAACTGAATTTAGCTTTAATTGCCAAACAATAGAAGAGTGTCCTACTTTCCAATCTCATACCAGTACACATTAATTTCACAAGATCAGCCAATCAGTGCATTTTTCATTTACGGAGAGGTGATCATCGAATGACTTGGCTATGGCTATGGTGTCTCACTGGCCCCTTACCCCTAAGTCACTGTAAACTGTATGTTGCATGTGTAGATGGGTGACAATTTAAAGGAAAAACCAACACAAATCTCTTAGTCTCTGGAACCCTCTCCATGCTCCCATAGGTGTTCAATTGATCCACATCATTTTCATTCTCATAAAACCTTTCAATGACCCCTCAAGTCCAGTATGTCATGTTTCTCCACTCATTCATTCAGGTTTTTCATTTAATTTGTCACCCATCTATACATATAATCATGCAAACTTGTGTACTGAATATCTTTTAACACAGACACCCACACAAACAGAGAAGCAAAGTAATTGCACAAGGGAACGCAATCTAAGACATTTTTGTTTAGTCTTGAACCATGTAATAATTTGGATTTAACTGCGCCATTATCAGTGTAACATCACTCTCTTTGGTGTTTATGAAGTTTCAGGGAGAATAGAGGTGTAAAACGCATCACTGATGTGTATTTTCGCAGCCAGTGAATAAAGGCTGCCTAAAATGTAATTAAAAAAGGATAACAGTCCATTCTATCTATACATATAGCCTGAGGCATTTTTTTAGAAATAGGTCATGCTCTGTGTCAGAGCCCCTTCCTTGCAGCCAATAGGAAACTGTAACCCATAAAATTATCAGCCTTGCTTCAGCCTCGTGGCCTACATTCAATACAAACCCGTGTGGCGGTTGAGTGGCAGAAGTCATTATTCCCGGCTGCTGTTTTAATATTGTCCATTTAGCTGGAGCCCGATAAGCGTCCCGCTTACTGAAATTAGATGGCACCCTCTCCTCGGCCGCCAATCTCAAACTGATTAATTCAATAAGGGTTTTCTTACATTTTAAGCCGGTAATGGAATTTGGTCTTATATGAGGGTGGGAGAACACACCTTGGATGAATACTGAGTTACATTATTCAGTAATTTATCACCCGCCCTTCTACTTTTTTTTACTTCCATACTGCAAAGAATGATGTCCTCTTATTATTTAAAAAGTGCAATAGTCATCTTTTAAGCTGGACATTTGGAAGCAGTGGTTCTGCTGTGTTTATGTCCGCCCTCGCATTGCAACAGAGTGTCAATCTCCTGTAATTTTCTAAAACTGACAAAAAAGCTATGTTTAACTCAGCCAGTGAGAGATTCTTACTGAATGTTTTGTTTTTACCGTTCATTCCTACTAATCAGGAAGCTTCTAACAGCTCTGAAGAGGACATTTTTAAACAGTCTGAGGTGCTAAACCATAATACAAAGCTAGCAAGTGAATGCTTCAGCATGGATGACCTCAATCTGCAAGACATGAGTGGAACACACAGTGCGTTAAGATGTGAGTACGTGTGTGCACCACCATGTATATGCAGTCAATTTTAGTCTGTATGAAACCTGCAGCGATACCAACCATGCAAAACATTCAGCTTAATCGTATAATGTAAGGGGGTTACATGTTCACGCTATATCAAAACACATCTAACTTTTGAATTGGAAACGCTTTAATTTTTCCAACCAATTGCCGAGTATGGTACATTCAAAAAAGGCAACTGTGCGGTGTGTGTGTGTATTTCCGCTTTTGTGTCTGATAACTCAATGTGTGTTTGTGTGTAGATGTGTGAGGTTGATGCATAACTGCATAAGTAATTCCATGCGACTATAAAATCAAAATAGATTAAATCAACATTTGTTTTCATTTCGATTGTTTTTTGTGCTTTTCTGTGGACAGAGGAAAGAGGGGAAAAAATGGCGGATGGGGAACATGGCACGAAGATGTATGGGTGGAGAGTTTATAGTTATTTCTAAACAGGTGCTTGAGAATAGTAGGCTGGTGAGGGCCAGAGTGTTTCAGAATGGGTCTTCCTCTTCATTGGCAGACTGTCCCTACAGGCTGCGTCAATTCAAAAATATCCAAATGATAATTCTCGGCTTGAGCTGTTTTGTAATGCTTTTTAGCCACCAGGAAGGTCAGACACAGAGCTTAAAGTCAGGGGAGAATGAGCTTTCATGAAACAGAAAAGGAACTGGATTCATTGGAACCAGAATCAATTCTATTTATGGAAACAGACATTAACTTGGCTCCTTTTTCGGTTGCACCTGACTGATGCTTGTGGCTCATTTCTGTTCATGGTAATTGGTCAGCACGGTGAAAACAAACGTGAAATTCACAGTTAGCCAAGTGATAGCCATTGGATCAGGTCACCATCTTCCTGTGTGTCTCACCTGAGCAGGTAAATGGTGAGGATTGTGATGGAGAGCAGGAAAAGCACTGTGTAGAGGAAGAGGGTGATGACCACTCCCGCTCCACCTGATTGGTCGGCTCGATAGAAGTGCCAGTAAAGCTTGGCTGCATCACCCACCGGTGTGTCTGGGCTGTAGGCGAGACGCTGAGGAGACAGAGATTGAAAGAAAAGGAGAAAAAGAAGACAAATCTGTAACTGTTAGATGTATGAGACTGGACATTTGCAATATGGTGAAGCTCTTGGCCAGGACAGATTGATCAAAGGAAAACCACATGATGGCTCAAGGACTAGGTTTCACATACTGGTCAGCTGGTGTTACTCTTACTTCTTATATCTTAAACTGAGTAAAATAAGTACAAATATAAACTATAAATTATTTGGTGAGACATAACCATATCAGTGTAAATTAACTTCTTCTTGTCAAGTGACTGACAACTCTGAACAGTCCAAATCATTTCAGCCTTCCTTACTGACAAAATCCAACCCACTGCCAAAAAAGACACCCATCTACCCTTGCACATTTTCTTTCTCACCCTCTCCCCTCCCCCCTTTTTTTGTAATCTAAAGTCACTTTGCCAAGATAAAGTGAACTCCTATTTAAAGTGCACAAGTGTCCAAGTTATTTTTAAGTGACTTACCCCGAGGACGGCGTCCACTGCAAAGACTGCCAGGGGGTCGAGGACTGTCCACACTCCCTGAGCCATGATAAACTTTGACGTGAAGGAAGGGAGTGAGCCAAATATCTGTTGACAGCCCCATCTGATCAGAACCAGCAGGAACGTTACTGCATTCAAGGTCAGGGGACCCACCACCACCATCGCCAGCTCCTCCCGGGTGTGGAGCAAAGAACTCTGGTATACGAGGTCCACCGTGTGCGCATAGAACTGGAATCTGGCGGGAGAGGAAACAGAGGCGGGAGATGTGTGTGTGAGTAGACTAGAGCAAGTGTGTGCACATGTCAATATGCGTGTAGTATATTTGTGTTTGTGATGCTTTCCAGCTCAAGGGTGATTGGTTCCAGCAATTCACACACTATGTTATAATGTTTGTGGTTGATTCAATCATATGTAATGAGTTTGATGACATTTAACATGATAATTGACTGGTTTACTGGCGTTTTTTGCCTTACCGGTCCCATGTGATGTGCTTAAAGAAAACTTTAATTGGTTTCATAATTTGTATAGACGTCAAATTTAATAAAAAATAACACCAAAAACAAAAACAAAATTGAAAAGACAATCTACAAGTATCGGTATTAACACCTGTGTTAACACAAATCGGATGGAAACTTGAGAGTGCTTTTCCCAGCCCCCTATTGTAAGTTAGACTCCACATTTACCACAAGCCTCATGAGTTTCTTAATCTTCCCATCAGTCAGGAGGAGGCAGAGCCAGTAGTGGAAGAGGAGAGGTCCAGTTTTTGCTCATTAATTTCCATCTGATTTGCTCCAAGAGTCAAGCGTCTCTCAGATTCTGTCCATTAATCTGACAGTGGAGGTCCATTGGTGCTTTATCTGAGGCAAATCTACTAACACACAGATTCAACCCTCCAAAAGTCCTTTCAGAGCACCGATATTACCTCACTGCATGACCGGTACAGACAGAGTTTAATGTTATTTTTTAACACTGTGGGATTCTCTTTTCCAGATAAATTACACCGTTAAATCTAATTCCAAGAATGACAGGGGAATATTTCATTTATAGTGAATCTTGATATGATACGATGAAACTTTAATAAATTTGACATTGCATTTTGACATTGGCAGCATCATTTCATATCAAATATTGATGGTGGCAGCATCATTCCATATTAAATCAAATCTTGTGTCTCTTCATATGTGTGTGTTGATAGGTCAAAACTTGTGGTACTTTTGTAATTTGGTTTTAGCATGTACAGTGCTTTTGCAAGGGAATGTGCATTGAAAGTAACTAAGTACATTTATTCAAGGACTGTAGTCAACCACAACGTTATGCTTCTTCATACTGCTGCCTACACACAAACAGTCCAATATTATAATTTATAATAGTATATATATATCACAGATGGGTACTTTTACATTTAGTTTTAGTTAAGTAAAAGTGTTAAAATAACAAAAAGAGAAGAAAGGAGAGCTCAGCTTTAGGTGTGTGAAGCAGCACTATGGACAGAGACTCCATTGCTCCTGGGCAAACCTTGCTGTCTGCTGATGTCCGAGGGTGGATTATGGGGGGAAGGATGAGGCAAAGAGAGTCAGAGAGGAGGAAAAAAGTGGGTGAGATAAAAACAAAAAGGGAGGGAGGCCTGTCATCGCACTAGCCACTCTGACTGTCACTCGGTCTCTCTCTCTCTCACTCTCACACTGGGCACCACCAGCTCTGGCCATTGCATGGAGAGAGAAATGCTCGGAGGGAGAGCAGCAGATTCGGACATGTGGAAGTTGTCATCTGACGTTGACCCCCTCTGTTTTCGCATTTTTGTTTTTTCACCTCCTATCCAACCCCTAAGTCCATCCTTTTTTGTTTTTTATTCAGCCACATTTGTTTTTCTCCGTCAGCCTTCTTCTATCACTTTCCATGATTTAACACGTGATGTTTGCACCCCCATGTTATTGTAATAAAAACCTGCTTGTGTGCATGTTTGCAGCCAGCTTGTTTTATTGTGAATGAATTAAATCAGCACCATATGCCATTGAGATGTGATTTAACAGTTCTGTGGTATCTTATTGCTGTTTATTATCAATGCTGTGTACCAAATAATAACAATAAATTCCTTCCAAATAATGTAGCCTTTTGGGACTTAAAGCCGTGTGGTGAAATCAACAAACTCCCCCAGCAATGGTTTGTTAATATTGAGAGTCTTGTTAAAATGTTAATGGGGAGATTCCAAACAGATGATTTGGGCGTATCCAGAGTGTTTGTGTGTGTGTGTGCATGTTTGCCAACACACACACTCTGCACATCCTCTGCTTCTTTCCATCTCCACATGCCATTTCACCAGAACCACACTTTGCATGTGTGTGTTTGAGCTTGCATACATGTTTGTTGTGTTGCTTGTAAATGTGTGTGTGTGTGGTTGTGTGTGTGTGTGTGCATCTGCAATTTGCCTATGTGCTTCAGTAATCTATGTATGTATCTGCTCTCCATGTAAAGGGATTTATGTCATCAGCAATGTGTGCGCTCAGAAATTGTCTATGTAGTTCTGGTCTGTGTGTGTATCCATACACTCCCTACGTGCATGTGTGCGTTGAGGGCGATATCAAAGGAAGCAAACTCACTTGTTGACAGGAACTGCTATGGCCTGGAGGTAGAGCCACTGGCTGCAGTAATGCAGGTAGAGCCTCACAAACCACATCAAAGCCAGCAGCAGCATAATGAGGCCGAGCTGCCGAACGGAGCCACGCCAGCTACTATGCGGCTGTTGTTGCCGCGGCAACGGCAGGCCCAGCTCGGACGGCAACATGCGGAGGGTCAGGCGGGCTCGGTCGGACAGGCGTGAGGGGCAGGAGCCAGATCCAGTCAGTGCTGAACTGTTTTAAGACAAAGAGGAGATAAACACATATGACAACTTAATTATTTTCTTTACTTTTTCTTTTTCTAATGATAATAAATTCAAACACCTACACAATAATTACATCCTTAAACTATCAAATGTCCCAGAACTAACTATCTCTATCTCTCATTTAATTTTTTAATTTAATAATAATAAATAATTTATATGACCTAAATCAATAAAAAAAAGACCATCAGCTATTTTTATAGTCATTCTTACAGTAATGCCACCACCACCTGCTACCAGGCAGTGGAAACATTTTGTTCACAGGGCCGCCAGAATCAACACAAAATCAAAGTTTCTTGTAGCTACTTTAAATAGTACAATACAGTTAGTGGTTACAAATATAAAGATGGGTTCCGAGATGAGATCTAATGACATTGTGAATTCACATTGCAAATACTTCCTTTAATTTGCATGACATATAGTATTCAAATGCATGTCTTTGCTATCATTCATGCATACATTTGATGTTTTTGAATATTACATTCCTCTAATGTATATTGAAATTGACACACATGTACACAAATGTACTCTCACACACACACGAACACACAAACAGATAGGAATCCCTTCCAGCAGTGCTCAGCTTCCCTCAGCACCTCTGCCTCCTCTGTGCCGCCCTTTGTCAGGCCTGCTCAACTATTCCCTTTCATATAGAGGGCACAGATGGAACAGTGGAGGCGAGAGGAGGCAAGAGGAGAGGAGAGGAGAGGAAAATGAAATGATGTTAGAATGGGCTGATAACAGCATTAAAAGTCATACACCAAATACAACACTGTACACTGTGTGTTTGAGTGTAGTAAATTTGTGTGTGTTGCTACGTGTATAGACATCCATTTATTATAGTCTCAACATGTCAACACAAGCAGACACCGATGACCCCCATCGTCTGGCTGACAGTAATTAGACCAAGGCTAAAGTAGGTGTATACAGTAGAGCTATGGTTAGCATCACAGAGTATGACTGAAGGCCTTTGCCTGTGGACATCCCTGTGTCTCACCACTGTGTCCCAGAGCACAGTTGGAATTCACTTTGTAGTGTGTATCTAGGGAAAATGGTACACTGCCTAAAGACTAAAAAAGAGAAAAAAACAGAATCAATTGTATTGCCCCCCCCCTCGCCAAATAATTAGGCTAGACTTACATCAAAATGCAGTATTGTGTTTTCCTCTGCTTGTATTGCTGCAGAAATACGAACTGCCACACAGTTGCATTTAAAACAAAAAGGAGATCATCTTCGCTGTTCCTGTGAGGTGGGTACGCTCTCTGAAGTGTTAAATTATTTGAAGTTATCAAGTTCCTTAGTGGATGCACAGAAGAGCAGTGGTGTAGCTTACAGTACACGTGGGAGAACTCGACATTCATTCAGAAAATGCTCAGTCAACAGTTTGAGCTGATAAATATTCATAGCCCGGCTGAAATAAACCCAAGCAGAGAGGATAAACATCTGTCATAGAAGTCAGCTACCGGTCAGTTCTGTGGTTGAGGCTTTAAAATACAGCATGTATGCCCAGAATTCTACTGCATACACTGAATGCACTGTATCCGCTGTATATTTCCTGTGTGAGGTCAGTGAGATGCTCCACATAAAAGATAATATATGCAATAGGGATGTAGGGAGAATTGCATTGCATCTATTGCTTTTTCATTACATGTAAATTAAATCATCTGAAGGCACTGTTTACTGTTGTTTGCATTCTACTATTAATGTTACATGAAAATAGCAGCTATTTATAATGCGCTGCCACGGCCTCCATATTAATGAATGACGATGAAGATGACTTTAAAGTCACTACCCTGAATCATTAGAGGATATTACTAAATGAAGCAAAGAAGATATACTTGACAATAACGATTTACTGGAGATGTTGCCAAAATAGCTTTTCAGGTCACTGCAACAAAAAGCAAGTTTTGCTGTGACCGTATGATGTTGAAAAGTGTGCAATTCTAGTGTCAAATGTGTGTTTATGCAAGATTTTGAAGTGTAACGCAAACAGAAAGATGATAATGTATGAGCAAATGTGTGTCTCTGCTTCCCTATTGTGATTTTAAAAAAGGCACTTCCATTCTGTTCCAAGCTTTATCACGGCTTGCTTCACTATGTGGTTTAAAACTGCTTTCCACACGTCTGCAAAAGTGGAATTACAGAGTAGACAAAAAAGCAGTGTGTCACAGACACAGGCAAGATGCTACCCTGTCAAGTAGCATTAAACGAAAATGGCAAATACAACCTGACGCCCATCTTTCATATAATGAAGATATTGATGATGCATGAAAGAGGAATATTTTTAGACGTCTTCGTGTGGCGGCCTCTTCCAAAGGAAACTGGTAACAAGATGTGAAATCTGTTATCACCACTGAATTGATTTCATTATGGCACCTCCAATTACAAAAGTACAATACAGAAAAAGAGGGAAAGGCAGGGGGTGGAGGTGTGGGCTTTTTATCTTGCAGGAACGAAGGATGTTTCATTCCAATATCACAGCTTGTCCCCTGAACGACTGATAGCATGTGGCGTAGCGGCCCAGAGATGAAACTAACCATTTGAACAGGCATGCATTGGCACATAATACTATATTTTAATTGTAGTTTATATTATTCTGTGAAATCTGGGCCAGAAGCTGTTCCCTCATTATCTTTTGATATGTTTATTGTTCATTCCCATGTCATCAAAGCACATTGCAAAGGGACTCATCATCCTCCTTAAACATTGCCACAGAGTGCCAGAGCCCGTAAATCAGATTTAACTAGCATATATCTGTCAAGTACTGGAGCAAGAACCATCTCCTGGACTGGTTTTTCCAGGCTGTGTCCCTAAATGTTGTATTGCATGACAGCAAAACGGGAGCAGTGCTCTTAAAAATAGCACAAAGTGAAAAGCAAGTACAGACAAGTATTAAACCTTTAAGATGGCATGGGTAATGAGAGATGGAGGAGCGGAGGGAGGAGAGGAGTACAGTGGGCTGTTACATTTTAAATAGCAGATTTATGGTGAGAAGGCTCCAGGGCCGAGGAGAGTGAAGGTAACCCTCAGAATCCCTCCACATTGCCCTGATGGCTTAAACCCTCCAGTCTAAGGCCACTTAAAGTATTGGACTTATCCCTTTATTTTGAGGATTAAGTTATTTTCTGTCACTTTCTTATTTGGGCCACCGGCATTGTTTATAAATGCGCTAAAACCACACATCTTATTCCACATAGTCGAGGAATGGTTTGCTGTTGGGGAAATAGAGAAAGCAAAGATACAGTGTGAAAACAGACTTAAAAGATTGACAGATAACGTGATTGTTTTGGCCCAGATGCACAAGTGTTGTGGTGATTATGGAAGTGTGATTATCTTAGGTGTCAAGAGATAGGACTGAAGATACCACATCTTTGTTTACATTTAATTTTTGAAGAACGCTGATAATGCATTTTATTTGGATTGTGACTATATCTGTCATCTGTCCTATGTGGGTTACACAACCAGTTCCTTTTCTAAGGCTTTGAATATAATTGAAAAAAAAAAAAAACTTGGTGTATACATGTGGCAATGTGAACATTCAAACAAAATGTCAAGTTCAAATCTAAATTGTTTTAATTAAATTTTAAAGCTAATTAAGAGTGCCTAACCCAAACCCAAAACAACATCATGAGCAACATATCTTTAATGATGAAGTGACAACTAGAAATGTAGTTTTCCTACCTTGTTGGTACAACTGTAACAGAGCACAGACATTACTAAATCTAAATACCAAGGTGTATGTATTTATCAGTTTCAGTTTTACTCACAGCTCAGATTTAGTCATAGGAGTTTAGTTTTTTATGACAATGCAGGTCAGAGGCAATATGAAAGAAACAGAAGCCATATTACTGCTAAAATGCTGGATTGGGGAACGCAGATGTTACACTGGGAAGAGAAGTCTAATATTTGCATAAATAACCTATGGGATCAATCTACAGGCAGTCAAAGGTTAGCCAGTGAAGGACGTTATGATAATGCCCTTGTCAAAGCAATGAAATGCACTGCAAGTATCCAGTAAACAAATACATCAACACACACATAATGTACACATATACACACTGAATGACCTTGATAGTGCTGTTTGGAATTTCCAAAGACAACAATTTACCATTATTATCAAAGGTCATTCTCATTCCGAATATCTGCGTGTTTAGATAATATATACTATATGATTTAAGCTCTCAGCTATCGTATATCCATATGGTTACAGATAAAACATACAGCATACAAGTTCCTGTGTAAGGACAATGTGTTTTTATATTAACATGCGTTAAAAAATGTGCATACTGTATGTATGCCAGTCCAAGTTTACATCAAGCCCAGATGCTATGGTCATTCTCACAGCGGAAACATTAATATTTAACTGTCTATTTACTGCACTTACGCAGAAGCACATGAGTTTATGTAATGACTGGCATATAAGCAGGGCTTAGCACAGGTGGGGCAAATATAATTCAGGAACCAATGAAACCTCACAAAGTGGAAATCACAAAGAAAACCCGCTCCCACAAGATGTATTAAATGATAATCATTGGTTACTAAACTAGTATCATTTTTGCAAAGCACCTTGAATATGTGTGTGCATAAAAACAAGTTGAACAGAGCAGCATATGCCTGCAAGGCTTTTAGATAATTGAGTCATTTTTATTTCATCTTGAGAGAAGTTTTATTTATACTGAAAATAAAAATAAATAAAAAATTGCTTCAGATTTAAGTTTGTGCTCCCTCTTGCTCTCTCACTCTCTCTCCTCTTTTTTTAATTTTATTTGTTCCAAGAACAATTACCTTACCATTTGGGGGCTTTATAAGCACAGTTTTTTACACAGACCCTGGCAAAGCGAGAATACACATAAATGAGTTTCATTGACAAAATGGGAGCACAGTGGCAGGTATTTGGGGTGTAGTTAAAAGAGAATTATGGAATAGTGACTCAGCTGCAGAACTGGAGTCCATCATCATATAATTAAAATA